AGCCAACTCCCGCTAGACTTATGTCGGTAAAGGATATCATATCCTATTATTCATCAAATGCTTGGATCTTGATGTTATAGGATATGACATCTTTTTTCTCTAACTTCGGTGTGCCTTTATCATCAACACCTTACACCCCAAAACGACTACGTGCGACCTTGCTAGGCTATACGTGGACACTTATGCATCGAACATAAGCATCGAAAAACCGAACCAAGAAGCAAGGAAATAAAAGAACAAAAATGGGGTGAGAGAGAGGAGACACTGATCCATCTAAAACAACGAAAAGTAGACTGGATCAATTCTCAAAACTCGTATCGAAAAGACTTGAAAAAGTAGGGCTCGAGGTCTTTCCTAACAAACATAAAACATCCGTTCGCGCTGATTCTTCAAACCCCAATGACGTAGTATTAATCAAATCGACCAAATGTTCTTCCAAAATGAGATTTAAAATTTTCCAAACCTCGAAGGAAAATGATCGCGGGGAAACCACTGTCAATACTTCCAAACTCGTTCTAAATTCGAAATTCTTTCAACTCAATCCATAACTCCATATATTAAGTAAGCACAGAAATCTTCCCATCAAACCATAGCATGCTCACGATCGGGGTCATCACAAAGAGATGAACAGCAGGTAGGACTCACGGCCAAGGATCAGCAACAAAGGGAAACAACCTACAAGGCTCTCAGCCACAGCCAGGGATGGGGATAGGAGGGGCTTACGGCTAGAGCAAGGAATGACTACCAAACTCCATAACCAAAGGTAGTATATAAGACAATAAATGAGGCTTATAGTTAGGATAATAAAGGGGCCCAAAAGAACTAATAGAGCTCACAGTTTAAGGTAGCAAAGAGCAACTACAAAGGCCCATAACCAGAAGCCATCCAAAGCACAAGGGGCTCACGACCAAAGCCAACAAAAGGACCATCAAAAGGCAGCTATGCCTCCCTGACTAAATGAAGGGATAACTGAAATAAATATGATTTTCTTTTTGGATGGCAAACTTG